TGGCGCTGTGGCTCAAGTGGTAGAGCGCTAGCCTTGAGCTGAAGAGCTGAGGGACAGCGCCCAGGCCCAGAGTTTAGGCCCCACGACCGGACCCAAAAAAAAAAAATTAAAAAAATAAAAAAATAAAATAAAAATTCAGATGTCAGATGCCAGTGGCTCAGGCCTGTTATCCTAGCTACTCAGGAGGCTGAGATCTGAGGATCACGGTTCAAAGCCAGCCTGGGCAGGAAAGCCCTTGAGACTCTTATCTACAATTAACCACCAAAAAGCCAGAAGTGGAGCTGTGGCTCAAGTGGTAGAGCACTAGCCTTGAGCAAAAAAAACCCTCAAGAACAGCACTCTAGCCCTCAATTCAAGCCCCAGGACAGACACACACACACACACACTATATATATATATATATATGAAAAATCAGATTTCTACACTGCAATTTTTTTCTTCTTCTTTGTTTATGGGGCTTGAACTCTGGGCCTGGGCTCTATCCCTGAGCTCTTCAGCTCAAGACAAGCGCTCTACCACTTGAGCCACAGCGCCACTTCCATTTTTCTGGTGGTTCATTGGAGATAAGAGTCTTAAGGCCTTTCCTGCCCAAGCTGGCCTTGAACCGCGATCCTCAGATCTCAGCCTCTTGAGTAGCTAGGATGACAGGCGGGAGCCACCAGTGCCCAGCTTACCCTGCAATCTTTGTGTAGCATCTCCCTTTTCCCACTAAGTCTGGAGGCTGAATTAACCCCAGTTTTGTCCTAGGTGTTCGATGCAACCAATACCACCCGGGAACGAAGAGCCACCATCTCTAATTTTGGGGAACAGAATGGCTACAAGGTAAGCCTTTCCCCATCACAGCTCCTGGATCGGGTCGTGGCCTCTCCACATCCTTTAGGGCTCCTTTTACAGCCTCACCAAGATGCTTTCACAAAGCATCACATGCTGGGCGCTGGTGGCTCACGCCTGTCATACTAGCTACTTAGAAAGCTGAGATCTGATGATCATGGCTCAAAGCCAGCCCAGGCAGGAAAGTCTGTGAGACTCTGATCTCCAATGAACCACCAGAAAACCAGAAGTGGCGCTGTGGCTCAAGGGGTAGCGTGTTAGCTTTGAGCAAAAGGGCTCAGGGACAGCACTCAGGCCCTAAGTTCGAGCCCCATGACCGACAACAACAAGAAAAAGCATCACATGTCAGATTTGGAGTTAGCATGAGCCACAAAGAATTGGAGTTTTCAAGTGCTCCAAGATAAATCAGTAGACCTCCTTTATTTTATTTTATTTTTGTCGGTCGTGGGTCCTGAACTCGGGGCCTGGGCGCTGTCCCTCAGCTCTTCAGCTCAAGGCTGGCACTCTACCACTTGAGCCACAGCACCACTTCTGGCTTTTTCTGCTTCTGTGGTGCTGAGGAATGGAACCCAGGGCCTCATGCATGCAAGGCAAGCACTCTACCACTGAGCTACCTTCCCAGCCCCAGAAGACCTCCTTTAGTTCTATGCTCCTCCATCTCTCCATCTCTCTCTCTCTCTCTCTCACACACACACACACACACACACACACACACACACACACACACACACACATGGCTTCAGGTCAGTATGACCCTCGCTGGACACAAGCGCCCCCCAGAGGAAGATCCCAGAGCAAACACCCTGCCCATGTTTATTCCTCCCTCCTCACCCTGCTGGTCCGGCCCTTTGGCGTAGATCTTCTTCGTGGAATCCATCTGTGTGGACCCAGAGGTCATCGCTGCCAACATAGTGGTGAGTGGTGGGTCCAGCCTAACGGGAAAGTCACAAGGCGGAAGTCGGTTTGGGACTAGGAGCTTCCGCCGTGGGTGTGAGCCGAGGCCCAGGCTGACCTTTATTTGATCCTGAGCCTCGCTGGGGTCGGGAGACAGCATCGCCTCCATGTTGAGTCAAGATCGGAGTCTGGAGGACCACTTGTATGGAGGAGGCTGTGGGGCTCAGGGGGCCTCCTTTCTTGGTACTCCTTTCTCAGGCCTCCCCCAATGGTAGAAGAGAAATTTCAACTAGGGGTGTGGGAGAGCGAACAGGTGTGTGTGTGTGTGTGTGTGTGTGTGTGTGTGTGTGTGTGTGTGTGTGTGTGATTATTTCTATTTGACCCAGATTTGTTCCCCATTTTCATCTTAGCCTCTACTTCCTATTTGAAAGAATGGCCATGTGGGTTTGAGGGATGGGAGGGAAATCATCCAAGCTGGGAAGGTGGCTCAGTGGTAGAGTGCTTGGCCTAGCATGCATGAAGCCCTGGGTTCGATTCCTCAGTACCACACACACACAGAAAAAGCCAGAAGTGGTGTTGTGGCTCAAGAGGTAGAGCGCTAGCCTTGAGCAAAAGTAGCTCAGGGACAGTGTCCAGGCCCTGAGTTCAAGCCCCAGGACTGGCAACAACAACAACAACAAAAATCATCTAGGAAGGAGAAAGGGGTTCTAGGCTGTCTTGGAGTATTGATTAGGAATTAGGATCTCAGGGCACCCCAGTGTGTATGACCAAGAACTGCTAGATTCTTCCAGGGGGGGGTGGTCAAAGGGGTGGGGCAGCTCCCCCAACCTCCAAGGCTTCAGTCCTTTGGTCTTGCCTGTTCTATGCCCGACTCTGTAGCAAGTGAAGCTGGGCAGCCCAGACTACGTGAACCGAGACAGTGACGAAGCCACGGAAGACTTCATGAGGCGCATTGAATGCTACGAGAGCTCCTACGAATCTCTGGATGAGGACCTGGACAGGTGGGGGGAGGGAACAGCATCCCGGCCTGTGCCTACAATGGGGGGAGGAGATGTCTCTCTGTCCCCTGAGTCTCCTTGTGGCAGAGATGGAAAGACCAGGCATGGTAGCTCACGCCTGTCATCCTAGCTACTCAGGAGGCTGAGAGCTGAGGATCGCGGTTCAAAGCCAGCCCGGGCAGGAAAGTCCAGTGAGACTCTTATCTCCTAAAAGCCACTCTGAAAACCAGAAGTGGCGCTGTGACTCAAGTGGTAGAGCGCTTGCAAGCAGGAAGTGTGCTGGGCACTTCCCACAAGGTTTTGGCTGTGTGTTGCACCTGGGATTTGTTCCTCTTCTATCCACAGCACCTCGCCGATCAGCCAATGGCGAGCAGATAGGCTGCTAATTAAGGCTCTGCAGCTGATTCCTTTAGCTGGCCAGATGTGTCTCCCAGGCCGATGGCCACAATCACAGCCTCTCTCTCTTCTTTCTCTCTCTTCTCTGGAAGGGAGCTCTCCTACATCAAGATCATGGATGTGGGGAAGAGCTATGTAGTGAATCGCGTGGCCGACCACATCCAGAGCCGGATCGTATATTACCTCATGAACATCCACGTGACTCCCCGCTCTATCTACCTCTGCCGGCATGGGGAAAGCGAGCTCAACCTCAAGGGCCGGATTGGTGGGGACCCAGGACTGTCCCCCCGGGGCAGAGAGGTCCGTGCCCGGGCACGTGTCTGCTGGCATCTATACCCGGGGGGGGGTGGCTTCATCCCACAGATGGGTATGTTCACCAGGCTTGAGCTCTTGTAGTTCAGATGCAATTGAAGAGGATGAGCCTGGTGCCAGTGGCTCACGCCTGTCATCCTAGCTCCTCAGGAGGCTGAGATCTGAGGATCACAGTTCAAAGCCAGCCCGGGCTGGAAAGTCCATGAGACTCTGATCTCCAATAAACCACTAGAAAACCAGAAGTGGCGCTGTGGCTCAAGTGGTAGAGTGCTAGCCTTGAGCTGAAGAGCTCAGGGACAGCACCCAGGCCCAGAGTTCAAGCCCCAGGACTGACAAATAATAACAGCTAATGGCTGTTCCACAAGCCAGGGAAGATATTGAGGTCTGGATGGGTGGAGGCTGTATGCTCTGGGACAGGGTGGGTGGAACTCAAGGAATCATGTCGGGACCTGTTCTTGGGGTGTGAGGAGACAGAAAAGCACTCAGCGGTGGGGGGAGGGGTGTGTGTATGCTGTGTCCAGGAAGTTAGTCTGTGAGTTTGAGCTGAAGCTGAGACACAGCTATGAACCAGCCCCAGACCAGCCAGGGGTGGGGTGTGTCTTGGCAGACCCCCAAATCTGAGGATGTTATTTTGCTTGTTATGCGCGCATGTCAGTTTGCCAAGAGCCTCGCCCAGTTCATCAGCGATCAGAACATCAAGGATCTGAAGGTATGGACCAGCCAGATGAAGAGGACAATTCAGACCGCCGAGGCACTGGGGGTCCCCTACGAACAATGGAAGGTCCTCAACGAGATCGATGCGGTACCCAGCCCTTCCCCTCCTCTTCCTCTCCTACCACAGCCACCTGGGGCTTGAACTCAGGGCCTGGGCGCTGTCCCTGAGCTTCTCGGGCTCAAGGCTAGCACTCTACCACTTGAGCCACAGCGCCACCGCAGCTTTTTCTGTGTATGTGGTGCTGAGGAATCGAACCCAGGGCTTCATGCATGCGAGGCGAGCACTCTACCACTGAGCCACCTTCCCAGCCCTCTCCTGGGCTTTCTTTTTTTTTAATCTCTTTTTTTTTTCCTTGTTGGATTTTCTGTCTATTCATTATTGATTTCTAGAAGCACTTTATGGATTTTAGATCTGATATATGCTTGGGAGATTTCTGATGAAATGCTAAGCATTCGTAAATAAGAACAATTGTGGCGCTGGGTGCTAGTGACTCACGCCTGTCATTCTAGCTCCTCAGGAGGCTGAGATGTGAGGATCCGGGTTGGAAATCAGCCCAGGCACAAAACTCCATGAGACTCTTCAGCTAAGCCAGAAGTGGTGCTGCAGCTCAAGTGGTAGTGTTACCCTTGAGCAGAAAAGCTCAGGGGCAGAGCCCAGGCCCTGAGTTCAGGTCCCAGGACCCCCCCACCCACACACACACCATACACACACACACACACACACACACACACACACACACACACACACACACACACACACACATACACATACACACGAAAGAGAGATCACTTGAGGCTCTGGTTAATGCTATCTTTGCCCAGAAGGTTTATTTTTGTTCTTGGCAGGCAGTGAGTGATGAATCACTTTAGTCTAGTTAGAGATAAACTGTTTCAAAGTAGTACTTTGATCTCTTCATGGAAACTACTCAATTTTCAGGTCACTTTTGTTGCTAGGTTACTGAGGACTCTCTGAGCTTCAATCATTACCACCACCACCATCATCATCATCTCCTCTTCATCTTCTTTTTCCTTCTTTCTCTTCCCTGCTCCTCCTTTACTCTTTTCCTTTGTTTCTTTTTCCCTTTCTTTTCTTTTTTTTTTTTTAAACCGGTCCTGGGTCTTGAACTCAGAGCCTAGGCACTGTTATTATACTTCTTTTGCTCAAGGCTAGCACTCTACCACTTGAGCCACAGCACCACTTCTGGCTTTTTCTGTGTCTGTGGTACTGAGGAATCGAACCCAGGGCTTCATGCATGCTAGGTGAGCACTCTACCACTCAGCCACCTTCCCAGCCCATCTTTTGGATTTTCTTAAGCAACTATCATTCCGCAATAAGGCTGTTCCTGATTGTTGCCTTCCCAATGAATGTGTCTTGTGTTTCTGTTTCATATTATGTCACTGGCAAGGACATATTATGAGCAAACTGGACATGATTGTTTTGTTTTGTTTTGTTGGCAGCCCTTGAGAGTGGACTCAGGGACTCACTCTGTTACTTGAGCTATATATGTCCCCAGTCCTTCTTGCATTTTTAGCTTTTCAGATAGAGTCTCCCATTTTTTCCCCCTATACTTTTAGCCCTTCTAACTCTCATCTCCCCAGTAGGAGTAGCTGGGATTACAGGCAGGTACTACTATTCTGGTTTCTTCTTAAACTTCCATCCTTTGGAGTGCTGGTAGGCTTGAACAAATGGATCCTGTTCCTAGCAAGTCAGGAATAGCCCGGGCCCTGAGTTCAAGCCCTAGAACTGGCACAAGAAAAGAAAGAAAGAAAGGAAGGAAGGAAGGAAGAAAGAAGTAGGGAAGGGGGAAGGAAGGAAAGAAAGAGAGAATATTATAATGAAGCTTAGGGTCAGCACATTAAAAAAAAACATACAAAACCCAAAACTATAGTTGAAATGTGAAAAACTTGATCTCATAGAAGAAGAGCAGAGACAAGCAGGGTGGGATGGTAAGAGAAAGGGGAAGGAGGAAATTCTTATTATCTACAGCACAATAGAGTGAGGATAGTTAGCAATAATTTGCTGAATATTTCATGTACAGAGTGTGTGTGTGTGTGTGTGTATGTGAGTGTGTGTGTGTACACTGGTACTGGAACTTGAACTCAGGGCCTAGGCACTGAGTTCGTTTTGCTCAGGGCTAGAGCATCTATCTCTTGGAGTCACAGCACCACTTCTGGTTTTTTGGATGGTTCATTGGAGATCGGAGTCTCACAGACTTTCCTGCCCGGGCTGGCTTTGAACCACGATCCTCAGACCTCAGCCTCCTGAGTGGCTAGGATGACGGGCGTGAGCCACCAGTGCCCGGCTTGTTAAAGTTCTTTCAACTGTTCTCCCCTCTACCACTCCCCCAGAATCCCACCCCACTACTTCCCCCCCACCCCCCGTGTGGGTTGTGTGACAATGACTATTGTCTCCCCAGGGCGTTTGCGAGGAAATGACCTATGAGGAAATCCAGGATCACTATCCACTGGAGTTTGCTCTGCGCGATCAGGACAAGTACAGATATCGGTACCCCAAAGGGGAGGTAAGTAGGATTTGAAGGCATAGCCCCCCTCTCTGCTGCCTGGCTTGGAGTACTGCCAAAGAGCCTTTCCCTGCATATTTCCCCTTGCCAAAGGGTGATGATGACATCTGGGTAGCTCCATGTGCCATCCCTAGCTCTGGCTCCAGATAGACAAGACCACTATAAACGCTCTGCATTTGTTCCCTGTCCTCAGACAAGACTCTGGTCAACCCCAAATCAGAAACGGAGGTGCGAGCGCTCTTACCACCTTGAGCCACAGCGCCACTTCCAGTTTTCAGGTGGTTCATTGGAGATCAGAGTCTGAGGGACTTTCCTGCCTGGGCTGGCTTTGAACTACGCTCCTCAGATCTCAGCCTCCTGAGTAGCGAGGATGACAGGTGTGAGCCGTCAGCTCCTGGCTTGGAGGCCTCATTTTAATGACTTTCACTGGCTGGGCACCGGTGGCTCACGCCTATAATCCTAGCTACTCAGGAGGCTGAGATCTGAGGACGTCAGTTCAAGGTCAGCTCAGGCAGGAAAGTCCATGAGACTCTTCTCTCCAATGAACCACCAGAAAGCCAGAAGTGGCGCTGTGGCTCAAAGTGGTAGAGCGCTCACCTTGAGCTGAAGAACTGAGGGACTGTGCCCAGACCCTGAGTTCAAGTCCCAGGACTGACAAAACAGAAAAAAAGACACTTGTAGGCGCAGGAATGTCATGGTAGAGGGTGAGCTACAGGATCACACGGGCCTGTGTGACCCCTTGGGGTGGTGAGCCTGAGACCCAGCCCTTTGATACCATGAATTGGCCTGGGGAGGGTAGGGAGGGGGGTGATTATCTCCTTTTCCCCCTCCCTCAGCTTCGCTCTGGAGCCCAGAATCCAGGGGAGTCCAACTGGAGGAAGCCCTGGTCCTAATCTCTAGGGTGGCAGACCAGAGCCCATTACCCAGAATGCCCCGCAGTTCTAGTCCCAAAACCAGAACCTAAGAGACATCTACCCTGCTCTGCCTTCACAGTCTTACGAGGACCTGGTCCAGCGCCTGGAGCCTGTCATCATGGAACTGGAGAGGCAGGAGAATGTTCTGGTCATCTGTCACCAGGCGGTGATGCGCTGCCTCCTGGCCTATTTCCTTGACAAAGCAGCAGGTGCCCAACCTCTTCCTGTAGATAAAGGGAGGGAGGGAGAGAGGGAGGGGCGGAGGGGCTGTCTTCTGGGCATCATTATTTGCATGCTATCCTTTCCTTTTTTTCTCTCTCTCTCTTTTCTTTGTCATTTGTGGGACTTGAACTCAGGGCCTGAGCACTGTCCCCGAGCCTCTTTGTGCTCAAGGCTAGCTCTCTACCGCTTGAGCCACGGCTAACTCTCTACCGCTTGAGCCACAGCACCACTTCCGGTTTTTGAGTGGTTCATTGGAGATAAGAGTCTCACAGGGAGTTTTTCTGCCCTTGGCTGGCTTTGAACCGTGATCCTCAGATCTCAGCCTCCAGAGGAATTAGGATAACAGGTGTGAGCCACCGGCGCCCGGCTAATCTCTTCCTTTTTTGTGTGTACAGAACAGCTACCGTACCTCAAGTGTCCCCTGCACACAGTCCTGAAGTTGACCCCTGTGGCATATGGTAAGCAAGCTCTGCACATGTTTGCTTTGGGACTGCTATGATCTTGGCTGTCTGTAGTGTTCCATGATTTTCTGGAAATGGCTTGGAAAATCCCATAAAGGGCCTAATTTCCCCAGCCTATCTTTCTCAATTGTGTATATATATATATATATATATATATATATATATATATATATATATATAT